TCTCTGCTCATTTTCTTGCAACCTAAATTGCGGCTCTCGACACAACTAGCATAACTATCTAATGATTGGAAACATTTTGCAATTAAAATTGTAATTTATCTTTGATTTCTTGCGGTGATCAGGCTTTCTCAAGAATACTATTCTCTTTCCATCTGTTTACATTTGATGTCACGCTGCCGGATTATTGCTGAGATAGTTGATCCTAATTGTTTACGAACATACCATGGACTATCGATACAAAATAAAGTGATCCGCATTGCTCTGAAACACATGATTGCCCCATAACAGGCTGGATTTACTTTGCTCAGAGGATAGAAGCCTTGCCTCTAAATGCAAACTTTCACGCTTAGGACCTCGGGGAGGCTTGTGAGACCTAGGCTAGGCTGAAAGTGCAGTCTACTCTGAGTGGGAACAGTCTTTTGAAATTCATGTAAGAAGTGAATTCGCTGCAAATCCTGAGTGTTTTCTTTGACTCGCCTTAGACGGACTCACTATCGGTGTCTTGATAACGATAGTGTTGAGTTTATTGCTTTAGGCATGCCTGAGGCCCTTATTGTTTTGCCCCATTGCGTATTTTATCACTCATCATCAACGTTCGAAGTTAAGCATTCTTCAAATTGATCTAGCTTGTCTTCCCAACTTAGTTGTGGTCTCAGAAATATCTCAAGAAGGCAGGCCCTGTATTGATATACTAGTCACCTATTTCCAGCAATTGTTTTTGGCCTTGATATATTGCATTTTCATTTGCCCTTGAAAAACCTTGTAGAAATACATATTGAGAGGGGATAAATGCGCTTTTGGTCAATCTTAAATTAGTTTAACTGCTGAACAATAAGTCAGTAAACAAGACGACTCCCAAAATTAATTAAAGCATCCTAGTTAATTCGGAGTAACTTAGGAAACCCATCTCTCTTTAATGAAGTAAGCACTCGTCATATATAGGCTTACATTAACGACCTATCTTATCAGGCCATTAGGCCTGCTTACAATATGAAACTGGAAATATTACTACTATGAGCTTAATTGTATCATTTTGAGATGCTAGCCAGACCAACTGGGTGTCGAGTCTAGGTAGCAAAGACTCGAATAAAGAGAAGTAATAAGTAGGAGAAACTAACACAGGAAAGGGGAGTTTATCATGGGAAGAAGGTAATATTTTCAACAGATAAAGCCGCTACAATATTATCTTCCAAATTGGAAAAGAAGATACATGAAGATCTGCCCTAAATTGTCGGCATCCACACGAAACAACTACAATATGAACTGGCAGTATGGATTGGCATCATGCATATATGTAAATGAATCTATTTAGCATATGGTAAAATGAGGTATAGCGTTTGACTCGAACTCGGATATTTAGTAGATGAAAAATTTACATTTTTTCTAAGTAATGGTCATATCTTGGTGCAGCATCAATGTGAATATGAGAGGCCATACAAGTATTAACAACTAACCATCGAGAGAGGAAATGGCTCATACATCGAGCTGATCAGGCTCAATTTTGTTGTCATTATAAGTTAAACAAAATGAAGAGTTTGAATCGTGATTATAAAGTAAGCTGATAGCATTTCTGCCTATCGTAGGCAGGTGCTCAAGTCAAGATTAGAGTTCGAATTTAGACGTATGAGCTAATAAAGGGAATAATATAAAATGTAAAAGAAGAACTTGTATTAAGAAAACCTGAAAATCTCGTTGGAAGTATGATCCGATCAATCATTAATATCAAACGTGGCCTCTTTCCCTAATCCATGTTGAAATCGGGGCTATGATTACATAGATAGTATTTCTAAAGAAGAATTAAGTGTACACAGAAAACTGGGCAAGGAGAGGTTCCGAAGGGAAGTAATGGCTTTATTAGTAGAATGTAGAAATTTCGACTGGTATTTTTGCTCTACATATGGCACGAGTTTGCATAAATGTTGTGATGTACAACTCTTTAAAAAGTTCGTAAAAAACGTGTAATGAGATTATATCTGAAGGATAATATGGACTAGTGTAGTGACGATTAAAGTGGAGTAGTTTTGCCAAATGGAGGAAAGGACTAAGATTGTTAAGCTAGTGATGTATATGTACTTATTGGAAAAGGGCTTATAGTCAAAGACGAAGAAATTTTGGGGGAAGAAACATCGAATTTCAGCCAGCAAGCCGCAAAATAGCGGATAAAATGAACAAGTGTAAGAGGCGAGAAGACTGTGAAATGAAGAGGCCAATTTACAGCCTGTTCTGATTAAAATTTTGCCAGCGAAATTCGTTACCTTTTACTCTGCAAATGCAGTGATCACCTCCTGGCCAGTACCACGTATTAGTAGAACTCGCTTGAGACCATGGCAGAGCGTCTCAACATAATCCATGTAGTGGAATTCGCTGCCTTGGTTGCGCGAGGGTCCTGGCAAACTGATTAATACAAGTGCCGCTTCCGAAGAGTGTTCACGGAGTAGCTCGTTCAGTCGGACAGCGCTATGTAACCGACGGGTCTGTCTGGCTCTAATCAATAAAGTAAATTTCACAATTATATCGTAGATATGAAGACCAAGATGGTATGAGCTTCTCTTTGGTCGCAGTCTGCTTTAGCCTTATAGTGTTGGTTCGACCTTGTTTTAACAACTTGGTCAAAGTGTCAGGGAGACCTTGTGGATCGTATCTATTCCCGTGTTCTCTTCCATAGTATTCGTAATTTCCAGCACTGGATCATTGTCTGGGTACATTCCCAAAAGTTTCGCCGGCGTCGGCAGTGAGAGGCGCCATCGTAAGCGCAGAGTTATAACTTATTAAAGTGACAAATCAAGGCAATCCCCTTGACCAATTTTCTGTTAAACCCTTGTGGCATCACTCCTCGCTCCCATTCTTTGTTCTATCTTATATAGCCGCATCTCTCTTAACCCCATTTATATGGCCCATCGACTTATTCACACAATTCTATGCTCTCATTTCCTCCAATGTGGCCTAAGAATATGCCGCTACAAGTGGATTTAAGGAAGCGTAATAGCCTCAACAACCGGTACTTAATGCCGTTTGTATGAGTCCTGACCTACATTATGCCCCTTTTTTCCCTACCT